TGTATTCGAAGACACAGGCATTTCCTCACCGGCTATTGGAACTTGTGCGGGTACCTGCCACTCAACATTGTGAGGTGCGGCAAGCCGTAGCCAGGGAGCTGTGTCAAACTCCATCAGGGAAGCTGGAGTACACTGCTAGGAAATTCAAAATGCTCCACGCAAAGGAGTTGACGAAGCTTGGTCGCAGTTGTTTCGGAGTTTCGGGGTCCCGAGCGGCACGAGGGCCCGAGGGTCGATTCCAGGGTCGATCCATATGGTTACCTCAAGTTCATCCATTTGAGCTGCCGCTGTCTAACAGACTGTACCTGGCTGTAAATACTGACTGGATAACAGAGCACAGAGCTCTACTTCTTCGCGATTCTATGTTGTTGCAAGTTGTTGCTATGTCGAGGAGTCGACGACTCGACGACCGCCGCTATATAACTGTACTACTCGACTCGACTGTTGTGACTGTTGTGGGGTTGGATTGGCCGTTCAGTTTTCCTGTCCTTCCCCTGCCCCTCCCCTCCTTCTCTCCACTTTTGAGTGAACCTGAGTGAACCTGGCTGGCCTCCGTGTAAATCCATCTGAATTCATTTGCGCACCTCCCAGGTACGCCGCCGAGACGGGATTCTTGGGCATGAAATCCTACATGGCTTTGAAGTTGGTGTCCTTCGTATGGAAGCCAGATGTTAGGGAAAACGAACGAATGAACAAAGCCTTAAAGCTGTTTTGGTCACGGACCCCCAATGGTTCGCGTGAATTGGCCTCCGCACGCGTTACTCTCAGACATCAGTTGGGACCGTCTCAGAATGAATGCATGAAGAACAAAGCTGTCAAGTGGTCAGTAGTTCGTCCAGCGGTGGAGTCTTTGAGTGGGCGATTGCTTACGGCGTGGGATGAAATAAACCACGTCCTGAGCCAGCCTGATCGCTGGGCGCCAGCAGCTATGCCCACAGATCACCCAGATGACGCAGCAGTCAAGAAGCTGCTTCCGAAGCTCAACCCGCTTACGCGCGGAGCCCAGAGTTGTAAGGATTCAGATTTGATATGATTTGTCAGGCTGTCAGGATTTGTAGTTGTTGCCATGAGGTTTGAGGTTGGGCCAGTGATTGGGCCCTAGGGGAATCATTGTCGAGAATCGTCGAGGCAGCTGCACGGGGACTTCTTATAACAGACAGACAGGCATATATCTTGCTGAAAACATACAAGTTGATGTTGCGGTGAGTCGATCATGAGTCCGGAGTCCGTAGGTCCGTAGGCTCCTCTAGAGTCCTCTAGAGGATGTAAGCGGTTCTATCCGGTGCTGCACGCGGTAGCCGGTAGCCGGTAGCCGTGTTGTTGATTTTAGAGCAATTGGAGAGCCGATGATGATGTGATGTATTGGCTGTTTGTGCACAGTGTGTGATACTTTGGCTGTGCACTGTGCACACTGTGAAGGTCCCAGCCCCCTTCTGCGCAAGTTTGGGCGGCCAGCTACAATATGCTTTGGAACAAGGTTTATGCCTCTCCTGATCATGCATTCTGTGTTGGACCTCAGCGCAAGCCGCGAGGACGACCAATCCTCCCAGCTGGATCCAAATTGTACATCTGCATCGAGAAAGTTCGTACAACCAGACAAGTTGTCGTTTGCAGTTTGGATGAAGGCTTCAAATCCCTCCGCGTGGATAGGCCGTTTGTCATCCAGTCCTCGATTTCCGTGTTTTCAGAGCAGTGGCCTTTGGTACAGAACGGAGAGCAGATGTCAGTGTATACTTTGCCTTTTTCAAATCTGCGTATTGCGCATGAGAATGAACAGCCAGGGAGCCAATCCCGAATTGTGGCGGACCTGGTGCAGACAAGAAAGGGTGAGCTTGCGCCGTGCAAAGCATTTGATTTGGCCACAGGGGGTGCTCGCAAGGCTGCAGGTGGTTTTGGAAGAGATGATGATGACGATGACGATGACGACAATGAAGATTGCGCTCAGGATGACCTTGCTTTCGGGATGTCATTGCTGACAGAAGCTGCAAAACTGTCGCCGGAAGCCCCGCAGGGAGACGAGCTTGCGCAGGCAGAGCATGCTGCTGCAGAGTCTTTGTTGGAAGCAACTCAGCTGGAAGGCCAACTGGATGATGCTGTAGTGCAAGAGATGGTCGCCAGTGTCATTGGCGAGGTTGATTCTGATCTTCAGCTGATGGAAGCCGTGGAGCAGGGTTTATTGCAGAAAGCAGTGTCCGAAAAGTCTGTAACTCCCGAAGACATTCAGTCTTCTGTGAACGGATTCCTTGCACAAGGCATGTCGACAGACGATGCTGTGCTTGAGGCTGTGTTGAATTCTGTCAAATTTCTTGGCAACACCCCGGACGACGAGGCACCAGCAAGTTCAGCAGCAGAGGCAGAAGCAGCACCAAGCGCCGAATTCACAGATGCCCCGGAAATGTCTTCGAGGCAAAGGGAACGTCTTGCAGTTACGACATTCAGCTCTGCCATCACAGAAAGCATGAGCTCCATTCTGGCGTGCTTGAGCTCTTCGAGCTCAGCCACAAATTCTGCATCGATGCGAGACGAACTTTCCTTGGTCATGTCACCGGTCGATGTAGAGGGTGAGCCTTCATTCGAGTGTTCCAGACGTCTGCTTTTGATTTCGTGGGAGCTCCGGGGGAAAACCGGCCGAGTGGCCCGTGTAGACAAAGACTGGCGACTGATTAGCATGATGTGTGTTGGAAAGAACCGGCACGCTCGAAACTTCCAGAACTGCACGAGTATCATCCCTGCATGTGGGGTGACAATGGAGCGTGTCAAAAGGAAATACCGACAACCTTTGCCAGATCACGTGATTCGAGTGGCAAAGATGTTCCTGCAATGCGAGCGATTGCTTGCAGCTGATGCAGAGACCAGCTTACGGCATAATGCCGGAAGCCGTGAAGAATCCGAAGAGTTGGCAAACATTACCCAGCCAGCCGATGAATGTGTGCATTGTCGCAGTTGCGAGCCTGTGATATCGGGCTCAGGCTCAAGTGATGGTTCTGCAGCGCACGACTTTCCCAAGGAATGTCCTTTCTGCCTGCTTTCTTGGCACCGTACCTGTTCGGACACCTTCCTGGAACAGCATTCGCCTCTGATGATTAGAATGCCAACGAAGACTACTACGACGGCTGCAGCGGCTTCTTGTCTCAAGACATGATTTATCATGAACTGTTTCTTGATGTGCTCTCAGGCTCTACTACTTTCAGTGAGATGTTGGCAGTGGTAGTTGGTAGTTGGGGTCAGTCGAAATCAGTCGGAATCAGTGGTAGCGGTAGTGAGACTAAGGTGACCAAGTTGAGTCAAGGGCCCCAAGGGCCCAAGGGCCCAGAGGCTGGAGGCTTTTGCAATGTGAGTCATAATCGACGTGGTTGGTCAGCGGAGTTATAAAGTTATAAATTATTTATGTAAGATTGCAAGCGCAAATAATCATTAATTTTAAAAATGTCGCAGTGGTCCTCATGGTATGATGGCTTAAGCTTGGCTTAAGGCTTAAACCTCCGCGATCTGGATGTCTGAGCGTATATCATTGATCGAAAACTCAAAGCCAAAAGGTCGCACCCATGCTTTCAAGAAGCCCAGTTTATAAGTCGAAACAAGCCTTTGCTCAGCTCTGTCGAAGATATTCGACACGTTGTATAGTTGTATAACCTCCCCGTCCCCGTCACCCCTTCCTGGCTGCTTTGCTGCTTACTGCCAGGCTGTGGAAGCCGCGGGTGGCGAGCGCTTGCCACCAAATCCATTGGATGCGGCTGGGATCGGTCCGTTCCAGGAGATTTTCTCCAGGCCAATGGCTCTATTGCTATAGATTTACAGGTACAGTGTTACAGTTACAAATAGTTACAAACAATCACAGTTAATCACAGTGCACAGGGACGATTCGGGCATTGGGCATTGGCATTGGACCTTGGACTTTGGACTTTGGACCTTGACTTTCGATTTGATATCTTTGGGTCTTTGAGTCTTTGAGTCTTTGGGGCATTGCGCCGGCGGCTATAGGCTTTGCGGCTTTGCGGCTTTGAGATATTGCGAGTACCTTGATCTGAGCTGACCTGTCTGTTGCCAGCCTGTTTGTGCTCACTTGTCTTCGCAATCCTCGCCTCGCACTGTCTCACATTAGGTGCCTAGCGTAGCTTCAAAGGCCCGATTTGACTAATACAACAACAACTACTACGACGACTACTACCGCCGCCATTACTACTGCTACTACTACTACTACTACTACTACTACTACTACTGAGTTACTACTGCTGCTGCTGCTGACGCTGCGGCCACTACTACTACTACTACTACTACTACTACTACTACAACAACAACTACTAC